GCGGGTCGAATCCGGGTCCCGGATTGGTGGCCTGGAAGAAAGGTCACGGGATTGGTCGGTGGTTGCCGAGTGGCTGCCGAGTGGCTGCCGACACGGACGAGACCGCGGCGCGGTTACAGCGTTACACAACGCCCTGACCACCGCTTTGTAATACGGGGGTTCATGTTTTAATCCCGGCCGCAACGACTCTCCGTCTCTCTCGCACCCCTGCGGGCAGCCCCGTGAGTGCGAGAGAGACGGAGAGAAGCAGCCCGCGTGTCCATTCGGCGGCACGCTAGTCGAATGCCTGAATGCCGCGGGACATAAAAGAAAGACCGTGGCGTGCGGCCGGCGGCGGGGCTCGAACCCGCGACCCAGCCCGCAACGTCGCGGGGCGCCCCGTGTCACTTCCGCGTGCGGCAGAGTGGAGTCGTTTTTTGTCTCTTTCGCGCACCCGCACGCGACACCCCATGAGTGCGAGAGAGACACTCGGGATCAGTCTGCGCCGCCACCACTGCCGTCCACTGCAAAAAACAAATTTCGTAAAAAAAGGACGGACCGCATGACCGCAGCCATGTTTCGCAGCTGTGTTTCTTTTCCAGCAGTGCCGTGTGTGCGATCAGGGGCACGGCGTGACATTTTACGCGGCGAGCTGGCCGGCAGGGCCGAGACAGACGTACTCGCCTCTAGAAGGCCCGCCATTTGGTGCGGCTGCTTGGCTGTCCGCCCCACTAGAAACCTAGATCGGTGGTCCGGCGTTTAGAGGGGCTCTCTCGGGGTCCTTGCTGCTGGCGGGGCGCGTTGCGTACGGACAGACAGACAGACAGACTGACTGACTGACTGACGGACGGACGGACGGACGGACGGACAGACACGGTGGAGCGTGCTGGTGCTCGCGAGGACCAGCGAAGCGGAAAGCATGCCGGTGTAGTTTTTCAAAAAAAAAAAAAAAAATATCGAGCAGAAAGAACACAAAAAGGTGTTGTCGATTCAGGAAGTGAGTGACACCGCGCCGCACCGCGCAGCTGGTGACGTGACAGCGTGACACCGTGACGCACCGCGCACATTTTTTCCCGCTGTTGTCTATTTTTGGAAAACTTTTTATTTCATGCAAGTCCTTTTTTGCACGTTTTTTTCAATCAAGTTGATTTTTTTTGCTGCCGTATTTGAGCTGTTGGCAGCACTGTTGTCGCACGGGGTGCTGCACCCTTAACCATGTCTACACGACGACTTACAGCCTCTTCCAGATCCAAAGTGTGCTCAGCTCACTTGGAAAGCACACTCGTGCAAGCACGCTTTACGCGGAGTGTCCCAAGCTGTTGTTGGGTCTCTCAGTGTAGTGGACGAGGTCGAGCTCGGAGGATCGGCGTTTGGCCAGCGAACAGGCGCGTAAAATAAAAATGAAGCGTTGTGTGGTAACGGTTTCAAAATCCAGAGCCGCCGGCTGGAGTCGAGACGGCCCGGGCGGACCAGACCGGGCCGGGCGTCGCTGTGGACAGGGCCTGTCCAGGCTGGCAGATGAGTCCGCCTCGCCGGGTCCTTAAGTGACCTTGGCGCGGAGTTGGGCCGGGCCTGGCGGGCCTTGCACTCGCTCCAGCCGCCAAGCCGTGGCGAGCCGCGACCCGCCGAGCCACCACGCGGCCCGGTGCGCGAGACCGGCGAGACCGCGGGGCGCGGGCGCGGGGCGCGGGGCGCGGGGCGCGGGGGGCGGGGGGCTACAGCAGGACGCGACACGACACGACTAGGACCACTTTCCGTTCGGTGACTCCCATTCTGTCTCCTCCCCGTTTAGACTCGACTGGGCCAAGGTCGTCTGTCTCCCGCACCCCCACTCACAGTGGGCCAGAAGGCCGGTGGAGCCGGTCAAAATCCCGAACGCGTTTTGAGCTCCAGAGTCGCTAAATGGGACTCGAACCGAACGTATGACCCCCACCAATGGATTGCTCTCCGAACGAGGAATCCATTGGTTGGGTCACACGTTCGGTTCGCGTTCTGTTTACCGACTCTGGAGCTCGAAACGCCTGCGGGGTAGGCCGTCCGCACGCAGCCGCGTCGCCGGGACGGCCCGCCTGCCGGGCGGCCCAACTCGCCCAACTCGCCCACCTCATCTGCAGCTTGATTTGGCTCGCGTTCTGACAAGGGATCAATCTGGTCGTGAGGCTGGGAAAAAGGGTAGGGGGTGCGCTTGCTCGGTATAGCAGTGCCCCGCCCTCTCCCTCACTAACTCCCTGGGCCATCCCGGACGCGCAATGTTGATCGCTTCTTCCGAATCTGACTTCGCCCTCGCTGCTTTCGCGCCACGCCACTGCCGCCGCCGCAGCCACCTCCGCCGGATTACTAATTCAGCAATTCGTCGTGGAGCAATTTTTCACCCCCTCCACTCCCCCCTGCCCGGAGCGTCCGGTTTTTTTCTTGCCTTCTTTTTGTTTCCATAACTTCCACTTCCACACTCACCTGCGCTCCTTTTCCTATCTTCTTTGTGTGTGTGTGTTGTGTGTGTGTGTGTGAGAGAGAGAGAGAGAGAGAGAGAGAGAGAGAGAGAGAGAGAGAGAGCGCGCGTCCGCTTTAATTGTTATCAGTAGGCTGCGAGGGGTTGGGGCGGCGCGTTCTGTCTCTCTCTCTCTCGCACTCCTCGCGGGAACGCCCCCTACGAGTGCGACAGAGACAGAGCGCCGCTGTCCGTTCTCGCTAATGACTTGGCTGTTTTTTCCCCGCTCATGACAGATTGGGCCACATGTTTTACAATTTACATGTCTGTCCGTCTGTCTATCTGCCTTTGCCTTTTTCATCCCCTTGCGGTGTGCCCCCTTGCCGTGCCTTTTCGTGACGCTAGTATTGATTGTGTATGTGTGTGTGTGTTGGTGTGTGTTCGTGCCGCCTTCGCCGAGAGCGGAGGAGAGAGAGAGAGAGAGAGAGAGAGAGAGAGAGAGAGAGAGAGAGAGAGAGACGCCGGGATGCCACCCAATCCGGAGGGCCGCATCCCTTGGCACCCCGCCACACACACACACACACACACACACACACACACACACACGCACACTCACACAAAGACGGAAATCACGAAGTCTTAGCACGCATTCTTACAGCTCTGTGTGTATATGAGACTCCTGGCTCTCTCTGTGTGTGTGTGTGTGTGTGTGTGGTTTTTCGTCCTCGGCTGGCTCTTACACGGCTGTTATCCTTTTCACCCCCACCTCGCCCGTCGGAGACTAACCCCGTCCCTTTACCTTCCATTATAAGCCCTTGACTTAGCCGCGCCCCGGTTCCTCTCGCCTCGCCTCCGTGACTCCAACTTCTTCTCTCTTGTCGTGTCCCCCCCCCCTTTCCCGGGCGGCGTTCTTTCCGATGTGTGCCCTACACTGCTGTGGAAAATGCGGAACATGGGGTAAGGAATAAGTACGGACGGTACGTGCTGGTTCCCTGTAGTCCTGTTTACTGGTACGGAAAACGTGTGCATAGCCTTCGCGTCGACCGTCGACGGCAAGGTAGTCACTCGCGGTCCAGGTCCACTGATTGACTGGTTCGTATACTTTTTTTTGCCCAACCTGTGTCTGCCAGTGTGCGCGCTGCGGGGGTGTAGGGGAAAGGGGGGGGGGGCAAGGGTGGCTGGGTGTAGGAGGGCAGGGCGTGGCAGGGGCGCGGGGGCAAGGGAAGCAAGGGGCAACGAACCGGTGCTGGCGCTGCCGAAGTGCAAACTCATCGTGGAAACAAAAGCAGTGCTGTGGCGGCGGGGGGCTGCACCCACCGCAGCCACCCTCACACACACACACACACACACGAACGCGTGGAGGGTGGAATGCTGCCGTCGGCCTGCCTCACAGTGCGGCGTGGTGTCGACCCGCCTGTCATCGCCGTCGTGGCTTGCAGCAGCCTCTGGAGCAGCCTCTGGAGCAGCCAGGAGGCGAGCAGGTGTATTGGAGTATCGCAAGTTTGGGCGGGAATTCCATAGTGGAAGCCCTGCACCGCCTGCGCGCACACGCGCACACACATGCACACACGCACACACACGCAGGCAGGGTGGCGTGGTACGTATCTGCGTGAAGGGGCGATGCAGTTCAGGGCAAAGTTCGTGAGGGAGAAACAGCTAGTTAAGGCGCACCGCACCACGCGCGCACCGCACTACACACACACACACACACACACACACACACACACACAGATTCCCTTTTCCCCGATGCTCTTCAGCGACGCGGCTTTTGGGAGGAATTTGTGTGGCTGGCGCTAGAGGCCCCCCTCAGGTTGCTGGAGTAGACGAGCGATTCCGAAAAGAGCCCCCCTTCTCCCCCCCTTCCTCTCCTCTCTCTCTCTCTCTCTCTCCTCTCTCTCTCTCTCTCTCTCTCTCTCTCTCTCTCTCTTCTCTCTTCTCTCTCTCTCTCACTCCCAGCCGTATGGCGCACGCCCGAGCGCACGCCCCAGTGAGTGCGACTGAGACAGAGCGACGCAACGTCTTCGGAATCGGCCTGCAGGTGGTTTTTACGCCGCGTACGTGTGCTGCTGCGGTTGCTGCCTGGAAATATTGAACCGGGGGGGGGGGGGATCACACACACACACACACCTTCTGGATTAAAAATGGAAGCGGGGTGTGCGATGCATGACGAGGGCGTCGAGAGAGGAAGGTCCAAAGACCACCCACCCGAAGGAGTGTACGATTTTCCGCCTTGGAGGCAGTGGTAGTGTCCCTGTCGTTGGTGGGATGTGTCTGCGAGACTCGAACTGACTTGAACGGCGTGTTGTCTGTTGCAGCCCGAGGAGAACCGCGCGCTGCGGCTGAAGGAGCCGGGGCTGGCACTAGGCGGGCTGGGCGGGGCGCTGGGCGGGCTGGGCGGCCCGCTCGGCCAGTACGGCGAGGACGGTCCCGACCCCTCGCCGCAGCAGCACCAGCAGCACGACCTGCCCCAGCACCTGGCCGCCCCCTTCAGCGTGACGCCCTCCTCCGAGTCCGCCCCCGCGGGGGCGGCGGCCGGCGACGGCGGCCCCCTGGCCGCGCCCGCCGACGCGCGCCTCACCTGGAACTACTTCGACGAGCGCGAGTACGTGTCGCGGGGCGGGCTGCGCGCCGGCGAGGACCCCTACCTGAGGAACAGGTTCAACCAGCGCGCCTCCGACGGCCTGGCCTCCAACCGGCCCATCCCGGACACCCGGGGCGCCATGTGAGTACACGGCCTTGGTGGTGACACCGACTCTTACTTCACTCTTTAAAAAAAAATCTTGGAAGTTATCGGAGAACTCCTATCTTTGGAAAATTGCCAAAACTCCAGTTTTAGTATTTGTTACCTTTGGATTGCCGGCAGGTACCGTACAAATTCGACCTTGTTTTGGAAAAAGGATCCTCTGGTGATGCCTGACAGGAGCTTTGGAAGGCACTTTTATGACGACCCCCGTGATTTTCTAACTTGTTTTATAAACAATTGCTATTATTCCCTTTTTTGTTTCTCTTTGTGGTGTGTTGCGTGTCTTTTTTTTTGTTTTGTTTTTTGTTCCTTTGTGCTCCCGCTAATTTGCGTCCCGGCGGGTCGAGGGGATGCTGGCTGGCTGCCTGCCTGCCTGGCTGCGGCCGGCGAGCCCAATTGAAAGTTAGATCGAATCGGGCCGCCCCGTACGTCCGCACGCGAATCCAACTTGGTCCGTAAAACTTTGCGGCAGACTTGTTGGCGAGGGACGCTCCGTGCTCCGCTCCGGACCGCGGCGGCCGCGGCTCCGGTTACTGCCGGAAGCGGCCTGCGCGATCGCCTTGCATCGGCCGCCTAGTCGTGGCGAAAAGACCGCGGCGGTTTCCGTTTCAGAACCACCATTTTGTGCAGAAAAAAATCCCGAATTGTTTTGGAAAATTTCAAATAATTGCGGTGTAGGTGCTCTCTGCGGTCGGCGACGCGTTTTTGAGGCGCTTCGCGTGTCCGAGACGCGACTCCTTGTAACCGAGAGCGCCGCCACTGTCAAGACGTGGCTTCGCCCTCGGCCCTTGTCCTCGAGGGCCGCCTCGGGCCGCCAAGGGTTTCCCTCGTTTTACAAGATTACAGCGGATCATCGCCCTTCCCCTTCCGGCTCGGTGGCTCGGCCGCGGTGGGTGCGCACAGTGGGCCAGAAGACCGGTGCAGGCGGCCAAAACTCTAGACGCGTTTTGAGCTCCAGAGTCGCTAAATGGCACTCGAACCGAACGTGTGACCCCACCAATGGGTTGCTCTCGGAACGAGGAATCCATTGGCGGGGTCACACGTTCGGTTCAGCGACTCTGGAGCTTAAAACGCGTCCGGAATTTTGACCGCCTGCACCGGTCTTGGGGTCCACTGTGGTTCGAGCCCCGGTCGCGGCGAAAATTATTTTATTTCCGTTTTTTCCTAACGGCCTTGCCTGGCGGCCTCCACTTGTCCCGGCCCCGCGGCCCTGCGGCCCTTCGAAGGGAAGAAGGACACCTGTGGTTATTGTTGCCGTCATAAGGGCCTAAGTGCTCCATAAAGCCTCACAGACACTGTTGTTCCCACGCGGCTTCCTTGCTATTCTTTCTGCCGGGGAGGGGGCGGCCGGGGACGAGGGGTGACCCACTGTAAAATTTTGTGTACAATGATTGTGTGAATGTGCAAGAATGTGCAAGATTTCTGGCGTTTTTGCCACACATGTTGCCTACTTACAGGCGTTTTAGCCGCCTGAATGTGGAATGTGGCCAAATTTTGTACAACGAATGTGGGAAGCTGTTCCCCCCTCGGCCGGGGAGGATCTAGGGAGGCAGGGGATGGGCGTGGCCCTGGAGAGTCCTCGGCCGGGGAGGGTAAGTGTGATCCAGGCGGGATCCAGGCGGGTGGGGGCGGGCAGGTGGAGTAAGGCGGATAGGTGAGCGTGGCCCTGGAGAAGCGATATCGGGTAAGCGAGGCTGCGAGGCTGCGGGGCTGTCCCTCACGTAATACTGAAAATGGCCTATCATCCACTCCGGCACCCCGCGGGCACCCCGCCCCGCCCTCAATGTATTGCCCCGATACTTTCGCCTGATTCGATCGTGGCGATAAAGGGCCTCCCTTCCCACCGCCCCGCTGGCCCCGCTCTCTTTGCACTCGCCTTTTATAAAACAAGTGTCGACTCGGTTTAACTTTCCCGCGCTGCCTGCCTGCCTGCCGCCTGGCGCACAGTGGGCCAGAGGACCGGTGCAGGCGGCCGAAACTCTAGACGCGTTTTGAGCTCCAGAGTCGCTAAATTCGACTCGAACCGAACGTGTGACCCCACCAAGGACCCCACCAATGGATTCCTCGTCCGGAGACTAATCCCTTGGTGGGGTCACACGTTCCGTTCACCGACTCTGGAGCTGAAAACGCGTCTGGAGTTTTGGCCGCCTCCACCGGGCTTCTGGCCCACTGGCTTCCTCGAGGTGCCCCCCGTCTATGATAAATTCAGCAGTTTGCGCTGCCGGTGCCGGGCAGAGCTTCGCCTCGAGCTTTGCGGGGCCTTCCGGTGTGTCCGGGACAACGCGGCTTGTTTGCACGGGGAGCACCTTGTAGGCGGGGCGGCCAGGTGTCCCCGAGGTCCCCTTTCCCTGCAGGGGGAGGCGCGGGGAGGAGGGGCACTCGGTTCGCAGGACGACAGTCAACACGAAAGGGTCTTCAAGGACCGGGAATTCCTTTCGAGTCCCCCAGACTTGCAGTTCGCTGTTCAAACACTCTGTCTCTAACGTTCTTCTCGGACTTGCAGCTGCAAGCGCTCTGCCTCTTTCCAACGTTTGTCTCGGCCAAGTCTCGCCCTTTCTCTGCAAGTTGACGGTGACGCGGATGAAAGATGCAGGTCGCCGTACCTGAAACGTCGCGTGGAATGAATGTCTTTAGAGATAAAAACACGGCCTCCTACACTGCGACGCCGCGCGGCCGTTACGTCACTTTAGCACCGGCAGGGCCAGACCGGGGCGCGCTCCGCACCGCTCCGCACTCCAAGAGGCGAACCGGAGTAGCACCCCGCCAAGCCCGGCGTGGCCCCGCATCGCTCCGCGCTCCAAGCGGCTCGGCTCCGCGTTGATGTAGGTCATGATGACCACGACGTGGAGGCGCCGCGCCAGGGTTCAAGGAGAACGGGGCGCCGCGGTGCAGCGGACTGACACACGGACTGACTCAGTGAATGGTGCACTGACTGGCCGACACCCGAGTGCTCTGCTGAGAAACTAACAAACACCTCTGACGCCGATGGTCTGACACACTGAGGGACACACTGCACAGAGGTGGAGGCGGCTAAAACTCTATAAACGCGTTTTGCGCTCCAGAGTCGCTAAATGATACTCGAACCAAACGTTTGACCCCCACCAATGGATTCCTCCTAACGAAAGGAATCCATTGGTGGGGTCACACGTTTGGTTCAAGTCCCATTTAGCGACTCTGGAGCTCAAAACGCGCCTAAGGCTCTGGCCGCCTGCACCGGTCTTCTGGCAAATCCACTGTCACTGCTGACACACTGGGCTGTCATGCCGCGAGATTGGCGCCCGTCCAATTGCATTCGAAGACGTGCAGACCGGCAGAGACTAATGGGCATCAACGGCACAGGCAGCAGGCCGACGACGGACAGACAGACAGACGGGCGAGGAGGCGGCGTCCTGTGAAACGCGATACGGCGCGCATCCTGATTGGAAAGCCCAATGAGCTGGGCGCATGGAAATGGCGACGCCGCTTCAGTTAACTCGGCGTCCTTGGCCAGGAAATCGCCATCGACAACAACAACAAGAATGAGCTACCACCTACCCCGGTGGGAGTCGAACCCGCGACAATGGACAGTCGGAATCCGTTAAGGAGTGGCGGCGCGTCAACCGGCTGAGCCAACCGCGCGCCGCCGTAGGGCCCAGCGGGTGCTAAATGGGATGACAAGCAGCGGTCGGAGCGAGAGAGAGAGAGAGAGAGAGAGAGAGAGAGAGAGAGAGAGAGAGAGAGAGAGAGAGAGAGAGAGCGAGGGAGAGAGAAAGAGAGAGAGAGAGGTCCGCGGCGGCGACTCGGTCGATTTCGCGCCACCGCCACTGCTTTTGTTCTGCCTGACTGGCGCAACATTGGTTCCACTCGTCGGCAGCTGCGCACAGCTGCGCCGCTGCAGGCGCCTGCAGCTGGCGCTGCCGTCTGGCTCCGGAGGGCGTCCCTCTGTCTCTCTCGCGCCCCGCCGGCCCCGCGGGACGCGCTGCGAGTGCGAGGGAGACAGAGGGAGACAGCGCGACGCCCGGCGGAATGATGCTGGAGAGCCCGCTGCCGATCCCTACAAAGATTCGCGGCCATTGGGTAACGGCGGTAACGCCGCGGTCCGCGAAGGTCCCCGTCGTCGCCGTCCTCCCCGATGACGGCACGTCGCTCTGTCTCCCTCGCACTCAAGGGGCGCCCCGGCAGCGCGAGAGAGACAGAGCGACCAAAACGACACGGAATCGGTCCGCAGAAGCGAATCACTCCGAAACGCAGCAAAAAATCGCAACGAAACTCGGCCGGCGTTTGGTGCCGATTCCCCGACAACGCGGCGCTCGACCCCCCCCCCCCCCCCCCTGCCCCCTCCCTCCCCCTTCCTTCCTCTGTCGTCCCCCCCCCCCCTCTCTCTCTCTCTCTCTAGGCCGCGGCGCCGCTGATGACCGAACAGCCTTCACCTTTCTTGCCCGCGTTCACGTTCACGTTTTTAGTTGGGAGGTGAACCTGCCTGGCGGGGAATTCGAAAAACTGAAAGTAAAGCACCGTTTCGGCCGCCCGTTGGCGATGCGGACGTCTTTGATTTACTTTTCGGCCTGGACTGGTGACTCGAGCACTTCCTCACTGAAGAAACGTTTTTTTGTAAGTTATTTTTTACGTGCTTCTCGACAAGGCGCGTTATGGTTGCTGGGTGTAAGCACGCGGGGCCAGAGTGGGCACGAAAAAAAAAATCTCGGAGGAAACGCGGTGTTTGAACCCGGGCCCGCTCGCCCGAGCGAGCCCATCCTGCACGCCACCGACCAGCGGTGGTCCGAGTCGTCTCGTCGCTCTGTCTCTCTCCCTTGAGTGCGAGAGAGACAGGCCACAGCTCTCGGAATCAGTCAGTGTCCGTGCGGTCTTCGCTGGGCCCCCTGCAGTGCACTGATTCAGAGTGGGGGTGTCTTGCGTCTAAATTTGGTTTGAATCAATGAACCGTTTTTCTGAGTGCGGCAGTCCGGCAACCGTTCCGTCCAGACTGTTGTCTTCTCTGT